TAATTCTTGTGGAAGTTCTTGAATTTCTTGTTGGACTTGAGTTTCTTCAGCCATCTTAATCAATTTTTAGTGAAATCTAGGTTTTGTTTTAATTCTTTACTTATTAATTAATTTTTACTAATAAATTATTATTTAATTATTATTTACAATTAAGTGTAGTTTTATATAATTTTAAATAATTATTCACTTCTTTTTTCTGTTTTTTATCTTTTCTTCAATATAAAATGTTGTAGTTGAATTAAACGAGTTTAAGTAAAGTATATTTCGTCTATTGCCTTTATATTAAATGATAACATAGTATCATTTTTTAAATAATCTCTTTAATTTGCTATAATTGTTTTATATTACATAAAATATTTGAATTACATTTAATTTTGTTAAAGATATTTTAAAGAAAATGTTAATCTTTTTAACACAAAATTAAAACCTCAATTTCAAAACCCTTTTTTTCAGAAAATAAAAGAAAAGAGAGATAGAAAAGAAGAAAAGAAATAAATATAAAACAAAAAAGAACTTAAAACCTTTAATGAATAGTGAACTTCTTCAATTACAACAATTTATAGCAAGTATCATTACAAAGTCAACACAAGGAAATAACCTTAGTAATGAAACTAATTTGTATATTACTCAAATACAACGACCTGAATTTACACCATTACTTCTTCAATTAATTTTAATTCCGAATACAACAAATTCTCCACAACAAATGATGCAAACACAAACAGCAGCAATTTTTTTAAGGCAAATTTTAAAGAAATATTATCAAGAAGAGAATTTTTATTCTTCAAATATTAGAGGAGAAATAAGAAAATTATTATTTCAAGCAATTTTTTCTTCAACACAGTTAATAAACAAATTATTATTTGATTGTTTTGCTGTTGTAGCAAATATTGATTTCCCAAAACAATGGCCAGATATGATTAATTTAATTCAACAAACATATCAAAGTGGTACTATTGAACAAAAATATATTTGTATTCAACTATTATCAGCTGTTACAAAGAAATATAGAACAGTAGAAATTAATAACGAAACAGTAAGAGAAATTAAACAAATTGTACAAGTATTTCCACTAATTTTACCATTATTTACTGAATTAAATTGTACTGATAAAATGATTCTTCCAATATTAAAATTTATACATGGAATTGTTTCAATTGAATTAGTTGATGAAATAGAAAATAATATAGAAATAGTTTCTAAAAAATTAGATCAAATAGCACATACTCAACAACCTAAATGTCAATTAGTAATATTTAAAATATATAATATTTTTTGTTCTAAATATTTAGATAATGACTTTCTTAAAGATACTATGACTGTTATTATTTATCAAACCGTTGTAGATTATTTAAATTCTTCACAAAGAGAAGATAAAAACATTATTGCTGGATATGAAGTTCTTTGTACAATGAATGGAATACTTAAAATTATGAATAATGATCAATTCATTCAAATAATTAATATTATTGCTAAAGATATATCATTAAATCAAGAAGAAATAACTCAAATAAATGAAGATCCTGAAGAATATGTTAAATTAGAACTTGAATCAGAAATTATTTCTGTTAAAAAAAGTGCAGGAAATCTTCTTAATTTAATTAGAAGAATTAGACCTGATACTATGGAATTTGTTAATAGAGGAATTCAAGCATTACAACAAAGTAATATTGATAGTGCAATTCGTTTATTTATTGGATTTGTTGTTGAAGGAGAAATACCAAGATATGGAGCAACAAGAATTAGTGAAGGAGTAGATTTAATTCAGTTTTGGAATAATACAGTAAAGCCATTATTTATTTCATCACCACAAATTGCTGTTATTAAATTTATTCATGAATTTCGTAGTATTTTACCTGTAACAAATCAAGAATATAATGAAATATTTATTAAATTATATGACTTAGCAATATTCCCTCAAGTTAGTGGAGCTAGTTTAGTAAGTTCAATGCTTGCAGCAAATACAATTGAAAAAATGTTATTATTAAAAACTTCAAGTAACTATAATAGAGCAGTTAATGGAATTAATGATGACCAATTAGGAAGGTCATTTGAAATGGCAAATAAATTAGTAAAAAATGGATTACAATTACATTCAATTTATCATTTAAGAGCTGGTGTTAGAATATTACAACGTGCAAGTAAACTTAATTTACCAATGGATGATATGTTTAAAGAACTTGTTATGGGATTAATTAATGAAGCATCAAAAGAAGTTAGAAACAATAAATTAGATGGAAGTTATGTTGGAATGAAATTTGAAGTATTGTCAACAGCATTAAGTATTGGATTACCATCAATTGAACAACAATTAATTAATATTACAGGAGAGGCATTAAAAGTCGACAATATAGATGTAATGGCATATTTATTCCAAATACTTACATTATATCTTCCACAAGTAAGTAGTTTATGTGAGCCAATACTTAATTTACAAATTGGTGATAGATTTTCAATGATCACACCAATTGTTAAATTTGTTACTTCTTGTGCAAAAAAATCACCAAATGTATTTACTGACGAAATGATAAATAAGGCATTAGGACTATTCCAAGTACTATTACAAATTGATTTTATTGATGATGCTTTTATTTTATTAAATGGAATTACTTTTAGCATTCCCTTACAAAGATTAAATCAAATACCGACTATTATTAGTTTAATATGTCAACGATTAGCAAGTCATCAAATTAGAAGACTTACTTATCAATTAATTAAGTTTATATTACAAATATGTTATATTAGTGATGCTTCTACAATTCAAGCCTTAAATATTCCTATTGAATGTGGTCAATTAATATTAACTAATATTGTTCAATTACCTGCAGAAATGAATAGACCAGTTTGTGTCGTTGGAATGATGAAATTATTTAGTTTATCACCATTTAATACTTTAATGGTTAATAATGAATCATTAAATTGTTTAATGCAATCTGTACTTGAAACATTAAAGAATAAAAGAATTATTGATTTTGTTCATGAAGATATTAAAGACGATAAAACTACTAATTTAGCAACTATTAAATATCCACATGTAGATCCAGAAATTAAGAATTTAAATGGAGAAATTAAAACTACTTTATCAACTTTATGCACAACACCAATTAATACTAATGGGCAAAGTGTTGTATTACGGCAATTATTAACTGGTAATACATTAAATTTCTATAATGAAGTAATGTCATTACCTCAATGAATGAAAGAATTTATTTTTTTTAAAGTAGAAATGAATATTATGGGTTTTTTCTTTTCAAATAGTAAATTATTATAATATAAAATTATAATATTAATAAAAGCTTTAATTTAATGTTTTTTTGGCTTCAGGAATATTATTACCTGAAGTTAAATGTTTTGTTGATTCAATAAATATCGAAAGACAATACATAACCTTTTTAGGTGCAACATCACGTACCTCTCTTATTGTAATTGGATATTCTCCTTTTAATAATTCAAATGCTCTTTTCTTTAAATCTTCTGCATTTGGAAGAGGAGAAAAGCCATAACAATGAATCATACAATGTTGTAAATAAAGTTCTGGAATACAGTCAAGAAACTCTATTGCTGTTGCAGGAAGGTTCATTAAAATGTAATTTGGTTGAATATGTTTTTCGAGAACAATTTTTCTAAGATAATCCCTTGCATCCATATTATCACACTCTATTGTTGTTTTATTATTTACTGCATTAATTCTCATATATTTAACTGCAGTTGGATTTAAATCATTTGCATATACTTTAACTCCTTTAAGTGCAGCTGGAATAGCAAATGGTCCTACTCCAGCAAAGGCGTCACATAAAATTTCTCCTGCTTTCATTTGATTAATAATTCTAATATGTTCAGTTTCAAGTCGTGTATTCCAATAACATTGTGCATAGTCTAATACAAATTTTACTCCATGACAAATAACAGTAACTTCTGTATTTGGAATGCCTGCAATAACTTCTAATGGAAATGTCCTAAACTCATTTGAAATTTCTGCTGTCTTAGTTATCACTGTTTGAATTCTTGGATAATTCTTTATAAGAAATGCTTCTCCAATAATATATTTAAATTCCATTTGTTCTTCTTTTAAATTCATGTGTGCCAATGTTCCTACAGTTTCAAATGAACTAGGTAATTGAATATTTTTATTTATATACCTCTTCATAATTTCATTAACATTAAAATTTTTAATTGTTAAAGGAACTTCTGTCTCAACTGTTTCTAAATGATTGTCTTGAATTAATTTTTGTGTTTCTTCTTTTAATGGTGTTTCTAATAAAATCATTCTTTCAGAATTATATGGTATAACACATTTTGTCTTTATTCTATTATAACATAACCCCTTAAACATTTTCATATACTTTGCTACTTCATTTGTTTGAACAGGAATTCCTATTACTTTTTCTTTTATGTTAAAGTCATTAACATTAATATATTTTAATTCAGGGAGTTGTTCCTTTTCCATAATTTTAAATGACTTTTTCTAGATAAGTGGATGACAAGGGTTTAAATTAAAAGAAAACAAAAATTCAAGATTGTGTTTTCATTGAATCTTATAATTTCAAATCTCAAAATTTATATGGTAAAAACAGAATTTAAGAACATCGCATATATTTTATTACAAATGTTTTTGTTACAGTGCATTTTTATAATTCCATTAATGGTAATTGTTCTTATTTTACCTATTGAATCAAAACTAAAATTTTTATTTTCTTTTACAAATTTAACTCTTAATAATAAAATTTATCTTTTTTGTTATGTACTTAACTCTTTGCCATTGTTTGTTATTCTTTATAGATTAAATAAAAATAAGCTTCTCACGAAAATAGATCAATCGGTATTAGATTTATTGTAGAACGATTTAAAGTGTGTTGGGATTATTCTTTTACTGTTTTCTTCATTCATTATATTTTAACATCAATAACTAGTATGACATTTATTCCAACTGGAGTTTGTTTATTAAAAAGTAATCATTAACCTACTATTAAACACTCATTTCATAGTCATGGATATTAGTTAACATATTTGTTTGTATTATCACAACCTTACTTGCTGAGTTTTTGTGTAAACGATATGAATTACAAGATATTTCTTTTACTAACACACAGCTATTAACTCCAATTCAACTCAAATCGATTTCTATAGATTAACGCATCAAGTATTATTCACCACATTGTTTTAATTAAGTCATTTTAATGAGACTCTATTTTGACTATTTTTGACATTTGCATTATTCTAATTTCAAAGTAAAATAAAATAATTCAATCATTTCAT